GGCCGGGCGTGCAGGGGCGGGGCTGGGAACCCCTCGCTGCTGCGGGGGTGGGGACCCGGGATCTCCATCCCACTCTCGCTCCCACTCCACCGATCTCTTCTTGAGCTGTGGCTTGTCTTAGCTGCCTACATTAAAGCAAGTGAGTTCTCTTTGTAGGGCTTGGCGCTTCGTAGCCTGAGTGCAGGGACCAGAGGATAGAGACCTCCTCGTTGGTACCTGGGCACCCTGGAAGGGAGCCTGATGGCTAGAGCCATTTCCTGTGTGGCAGAGGCAAAGTGGTGATGTTGAACTTGTTCCCTTCTCTGATCCCTTTTAAGTGCTGCTCTGAGATGCTTTTTCCCAAGGAAAGGAAGGTATTGGCTTGTAGAGGGGAGGATGGCAGCGAGTTGACTTAATAGGCACTCACAGCTCACCTGGCTGTCTCTAGTATCTTCCTCGACATCCCTGGGATCTCTCTCCTAATTTGTCTCATTGTGGTCTCACCAGTCCTCACCTTCATCACAGATTAGGCAGGGCAGGATGGATCCTACCCCCACCCCTCAATACTGTATTTCCCTCTGGTACTCCCACCTGGCAATACCTCCACCTGGCTTGGGCAGTACTCTGCAAGGAGGGGCAGCAGGAGTTAGACTGAAAAACAATGACCTGTGTCCTTTGTATCATGGGCGCCTCTGAGAATCTGATGAAAGAGATGAACCCTTTCCCCAGGAAAATACAAATAAGTGTGTGTATGCACACGCATGCACGCACACATACATGTAACTTGCTGTTTTGCACTGATGCCAGGAAACTTTGGCCCCCTGGGTTGATCTCTGTGAAGTCCTGGCTGCCTTGCACATACCCATTGTACCAGTCCTGAGGGGCAACTTGCTGTCCCTGGGCGGTGGGGTACTGGGCTTGTTCTCACCTTGCTGCTTTGACTTATCCTGTTCTAGCCACTAGGCATGATTTCTTCTTTACTTTTACTTTTTGTTCACATTCTGCCCAGTGTTCAGATTCCAGCCCCAGTCTCCTCCTCCTCCTCCTCTTCTTCCAGGAAGCCCTCCCCAGAGTGCCATATATACATTTAGCTACCTGCTTGGGAGCTCAGGGTAGTACAAGAGTGGACCATGGGACCTCAGGTCAGAGTTTGGATGCACTTGAAGTTCCTGGCCTGTTACCATAGCCTGGGCTCTGGGGTGAGGCTGAGCTGGTCTGGGTAATACTTGTGAGAATAGCAGTGGATAGACAGCCCTCAGGCAGGGTCATGGCTGAGTGGGCCTCATTCTAGAACAGGGTTTCTCAACCTTGACCCTGTTTACAGTTTGGAGCTGATCATTCTTTGGTGTGTATGTGGTGGTGGGGGGAGGGGCGGGCAAGTGCTCTCTTGTGCATCGTAGGATGTTTAGCAGCATCCCTGGCCTCTACCCACCAAATGCCAGTAGCACTTCCAACCATGACAACTGAAAATGTCTCCAGGTGTTGCCAATGTCTGGGCAGAGGGGGTGAGAACCTCTGATCTAGAATATTCTCATGCTTTTAAAGAGACAGTTTTGGGAGGTGGGATTTGTGGCTAATGCCTCCCCCATCCCTACCCTATGGATTCAGGGTGGGAGTTGGCTTTTCCTCAAAGCCCGGAAGATTTGTGCCTCGCTAAACCTGTTCAGCGTGGGAGAGTTTGGTTTGAAATTAGTGGTTCTGGAGTACCGCTGGCCACGGAGGAGAATCCTGGCGTCCTTGAGTTTTCCCAGAAGTGGTTCGGGTTTCAGGGAGGCGGCGGTTGTGGGTGGCCCGGCAGCCTGCCCGCCC